CCCAATATTCTTTTCTATCTTCTCATTTGGTACATATACCTAATTTTTATAAAGTTAAGCATACATAATATCGATTATAAATGCCATGTACACCTCCTTCTTACAAATACATACTTGCATTCCCTATTTTGTTCTGAAAAAAATGAAGTAATTTTTAAAAAAACATTTTAGCTGTTTTTTATTTATTTATATGTGATGCTGAGAATCGAACCCAGTGCCTCATACATGCTAGGCAAGTGCTCTACCACTGAGCCACAACCGCAGCTCCTAGAACGAAGTAATTTTTAAAAACCAATCTAGGGGCCAGGTACAGTGATGTATGCCTATAATCCCACTACTTGGGAGGCTACATCATGAGAATCAAAAGTTAAAGGCCAGACTCCACAACTTAGCAAGACACTGTCTCAAAATAAAAAAGGGCTGGGAGTGTGTAACTCAATAGTAAAGGGCCTCTGGATTCAATCCCCAGTACTGGTGGGGAAAACAAACCAATTCCAGGGAAAGTAAAAATCTAAAATGTTCTTAATATTTGTCTCATCTAACACTAACATATATTTAGGGGCTGGGTTTGTGGCTCAGTGGTAGAGCACTTGCCTAGCAAATGTGAGGCACTGGGTTCAGTCTCAGCACCACATAAAAATAAATAAATAAAGATACTGAGGGGCAGGAGTTGTGGCTGTGGTAGAGTGCTTGCCTACCATGTGTGGGGAACCGGGTTCGATCCTCAGCACCCCATAATAAATAAAATAAGGATATTGTGTCCACCCACAACTAAAAAATATATTTAAAAAAAGATTGTGTTCATCTACAACTAAAAAAATTTTAAAATAAAATATATTTAGGGGCTGGGGATGTGGCTCAAGGCCTGGCATGCGTGCGGCCCGGGTTCGATCCTCAGCACCACATACCAACAAAGATGTTGTGTCCGCCAAGAACTAAAAAATAAATATTAAAAATTCTCTCTCTCTCTCTCCTCTCTCACTCTCTCTTAAAAATATATATATATATATTTAGTCATCTATTGCTAGATATCATAGTCAAGCAGAATTCTCTTACTCAACACTCTGACACATCTTTAAACAATGACACAGTTGATCATTCCACCCTCCTTGAAAACTTCCTTTCCTCCACTTCTACAACATCACACTCCCCGAGTTCTCCTCCTTATTCACAGATCTCTTTTCAGATTGTTGGGTTACTCTTCATTCCTCCAGTGTATCTAGAAGGTAAGTCCCATGAAAGTAGAGGTTTCTGTCAGCTTTGTTCACGGCAATATGACCTAATGACTAAAAGAGTACTTAGAACCATCCATGTTAAGTAATGTAGAATGAATGAATCAGTCAGTGCCCCAAGGCTCAGATGTCTTCTCTACCTCAATTCATTCCCCTGATGATCTCAACATCTCTTCACTTTACATGTGTCAGCTGAAAATAGACAAATTCTTCACTCAGCCTAGACATTTTTCCTAAACTTGTGTTTTCCCCAAACATGCTCCACCAAATGCCATCTCCATCTCAGTTACAGACAACCTCATTTTTCTAGTCTTTCAGGCCAAAAACTTGAGTTATTCTTTACTCTTCTGTTTTGCTCACATCCCACATCCAACCACCAGCAAATACTATAGGTCTACCCTCAAAACAGACCCAAACTTCAACCACTTCTCACATTTCCTCTTGCTATCACCTGGGTCAGAGCCATTCTCATCTACAACACTGTAAAAGAACCTCCTGACTAGTGGCCTTACTTCTCCACAGCACCCCCTGCTCTAAAGTCCCACCGCAGTCAGAGCCATTCTTTCACAGCATAAATCAGATTATATCAATGCTCCACAGCAGTTCCCATTCCTTACTCAATGTCAAACTTAGAAGCCTTCCTAGTCTACATGCCTCCTACACCCTCATCCCCATTCCCTATTCTTCTCTCTTGCTTCATTTCTCTTCATGGCACTTACTAGCATCTAAAATTCATTTACTGGTTTATTTACGTATTTTATCATCTATTTCCTCACTTAAGATAAAAGCTCCAAGATGATCCAGATTTTTATCCACTTTGTTCACTGCTATACTGCCAACACCTAGAATACCTTGGTAATACATGCTTAATATGTATTTATTAAGTGAATGAATGAATGAATAATGTTCATGGTAAAAACGTCAAAAGATGTTAGTGAACCAACTAATTATGTGCCAGAACTATTGTAACTATAGAACTAACTCATTTGACCAACCTAAGAAGTTAGGTATTATTGCTTTTACTCCCATTTTGCAGAGGAAGAAACTGAGATACAGGCTAAGGGTAAGAAACGGAGGATAAACAGTCTGCCTTAGGTCATACAATGGCAAGGTTGGGATTTGAACTCAGGCACAGTGACTCCAAGAGCACACAATCCAAGACATGGAAAGACCTGAATAGCCATAGATAGAATCACAATATAGCCTATGACATGACTATGTTAAAATTATTTTATTGCATTTCTCTGAAAACTGATAATCAGTGTACTGATTATTTGACAAATCACAATATTTTGCTCCCTAATCTTTCTGTCAATGTTTCTAATATACTACACATAAAATGCAAATTTAAAAGCTCTCATGCTACTTCTAAAAGCATAAACATAGTATGAAACAGAGTGCTGTTGACATGAAAACATTCATTTTTAAGTTTCCAATACTAATATTTAATTAACAAACTGGCACACTAATCTAAGGATTTAGCAATAAAGAACAAAAAACAACTTATCAGATTCAATGAGGAATCACAAGGAATGACTAGTAAGCAATATTTCTTAAATACTAAAACGTAGCAGGCACAGTAATGCACACCCGTAACCCCCACAACTTGGGAGGCTAAGGCAGGAAGACTACAAGTTCAAGTCCAGCCTGCACAACTTAGTGAGACTTTGTCTCAAAATAAAAATTTAAAAATGGGTGGGGGACATAGTTCAGTGGTAAGGTGCCTCTGGATTCAATTCCCAGTAGCTCCCTTCCAAAAAAAAATTGTAGTTTTCTTCCTCAAGCATAAGAAATTCTTATTACTACATTGCTTCTAAATTGGACTTTCCCCCAAATTACATGATTTCATCCTTACAAAGTGAATAATCACACCTCACATCCAACAACGCAAAAGTCACTTTAGAAGTACATACACACAAGCTTCATCCAATATCTTAGTTCACATTTTTCCCAATTAATTAGGTCAATGTATAATCTAAAAGCCAAAATGAAATATGTGGATTTTAAGTTCTCCTTCCAATTCATCTAAAATCAAAATCAGTCACTATAGCAACTTATAATTCAATCTGTCCCAACACTTGCTTAATATTTAGTTTACAATCACAAATTGAATCACACATTCTCAATAAATAGATTTATTATATACTGTTTCCTCTAAATCTCTTTAAGCAGAAGTATTTGCTAGAGGAAAACTGTCTGCTCAGTAAGTAGGCATTTAAAAAAAGCAACGATCTGCAACTACTGTAACTAATCTGTATATTTCTCTCTTGGGTTCCAGGAAAGCACTTCCCTGACTATTTTCCCAAATAAATTGGGTAAGCCTTCAGAAAGTCACTGCTTAAATTCCATCTCATGACGGTTTCTCTTCCTCCATAAATGAATTATTGAGAGTCATGCCTACTAACATCCATTACATAATTCATGTCTATCAAAGGACCTGTTTTCTGAAAGAGAAATAGCTTAAATATTTAACTGATAGGTAAGAATACTGTAATTTAACAGGAAGCAGGCATCCAGAAAAGATGCACGTTTACTGTCCTAAGTTGTGGAACATCAATGTGAACAACACTCAACACTGTTCATTCAGTAACATCTCCAATAACATGAGACACATGCTCCCAAAATGTTGTTAGAGCATTTCAAAGCACCTAACCTTAAGAACATATCTCAGAAATTGTGTGACCTACCTTTAAAAAATATCCATTTCATTTTTAAAGTGTTTAATAAATACTTAAATACATCTACAATTGAGAAATAAAAACAATCACCAAGAATTCAGTGCTGAACACAAAATTTCTAAATGTCCAGGTCTACTGAAAAACAAGCTGTAAAAAACAGCTGTGCTTTGAAACGTTTAAGCGTTTTTCATACAATTACCTTAAAAAAAAAAAAAACTGTTCAAATTGTTCATTTTACCCACTCAAAGCAGTCAACAACAACCACCTGCAACTACTACTCCGAAAGATGTCTTTCAAAGCAATCATCTGAGTCTCAGGCCTCCTCTCAAGGGGCCAGAATAAAGACTTTGAAAAAAAATATATTTTAAGTGGTATAAAGAGATCTTTTAGGCACAGAGGAAAGAAAACTGGAAGACAACACCTTTACGGAATTATGAGTAAATGAGACCTATTTCCTAAAGGTTGGTGCCAGAATGAAGTTATTTAAACCCAAGATCTCCCCTCTTCTTGGGTGTGAAACTTCAGATCCATCCACCGTCACAATTTACCCAATCCAAAGGGAATTCTCTTCCCTACCCGACCCCCAACCCATCCCGTCAGGAAAAGAAAATGAAACAACCAAGACGCTAAAGTAGAAATGTGAGATTTACTGCAAAGCTTCTCCGACTAGCTCGAAGGCAACATCCAAAGCTCATCTCCTTTTTGAAATAAAACCTTTCATCTTCTACCTCACCCCCCCAAAAAAAATAAATCTTCAATATTTTACATCAACCATCTAAACCCACAGATCCACCCTGACCGCACCCCAACCACAGGGGTCTTTCCCCACTACCTCGCGCGGAACATCACACCTCATACCTCTGCGACCCCCGGTTCTCCCAGAGCCCAGAGCCCCCACCTCCCACCTAGCCCGAGGTCCCCACCGCCACCGCCTCAGCTCCCGCCCAATCACGAAGCTCGGCTGGGTGGAGCCCGCCGGTGGGCTAGGGTGGGTTGGGGTGGGATCCGCCCTCCCGCCCGCCCGTACTTCACCATCCCCCCCACACACACACAGCCAGCAGTGGAGGGGGAGGGGGTCCCGAAGCCTCACCTACAGCTCCGCCCCTCCCCGGGGGCGCTCTGCCCTGCCCAGCCAGGGCGGGGGGCAAGAAGCCCAGAAGGGGAAGCAGAAGCCTCAGCGCCAGCGACAAGCGGGAAGCGCGAGGTCCCGCCCGACTTCCGAGCTGCCGCCACCGCGGCCGTCTCACCCTCCTCGAGGCTGTTGCTGCCACTGCCGCCCCAGCGCCCCCGCCGCAGCCACTACCACAGCCGCCGCCGCCGCCACAGCCACGGCGCGGCCCGGGCACCCGCGACGTCACCGCGCCCCGCCCCCTGCGCGAGACACCTAGACCCGCCCCTAGGCCCGGCCGCGCGACGCGCGTGCTCCTTCCCTGGCTCCCCGCCCTGTTTTCCCTCACCCTCCTGGGAACGCAACGCGGGGTTCGCAGCATCTGGGCGCCTACCGGGGCGCGTCGACACAGGTTCTGGGAAGAAGAGCGACTCGGGGCTACAGTGGTAATTCGGCGCTGAAGCCAAGTCGAAGACGCGGAGTGTATACACGGCCCTGCGGCCACTGGAGGGGACCGCCAGGGCAGCTCTGGCAAGAGGCGGTAGGTGGGAGCGAGTCGAGGCGGCGTTTGTCTCCTTCTGCTTGCCGTAGGAAGTGGACTGCTGGAAGCCTAAAGAGCGACTCGCCTCTTTCCCAAACCTTACAGTCGCCCCACCCCCTCCTTCGCGGCCCGTTACAGGAATCCGGCCACCGCCACCGCCACCACCGTAGGGAGTACTTGGGGTTGTCTGTAGAGTCAAGGCTGCAGTGGGCAGCCTTTGTCCAAGGGACGTTCGATTTTCTCCTCGCCCTTAGCTTTTGTGCCGCGGAGAGGCAGTGCGCTGCTAAGAAACACCGGGGCTGTCCACGCGGGCATCGCCGAAGTCCCTCGCCACTGTAGGTCGTTTTCCTTTGGAGATTATTCCAGCACAGGAGAGCGTGGGCGGAAATTAATGTCCGCATGCAGTCCCTGCGCTGTGCCAAGTGCTGGACTACGTTACCTGTTTAATTTAGCCCTTACAACACCAAAGGCGGACCTACCGGGCAACCGGTCCCCAGTTTGATGCAACTTAATTTTCTCACGCTGAATTGCAGTCGATTTTCGTTTTGTCAGAGCCATGCTAAGAGGTTTACAGCAGCCATTAATTTAATGTAGATAAACTATCTATAAACCGACAGAGTGACGTGAGTTATATTTATTCCCCGCCTCTCCGTGTTTATTAAGATAACTTAAAATGCCTTTGAGATGAGTGGAATTCAGAGTCATTTCATTCACACCTCCCACCACCATAATTAACTAGTTTACACTCCCTCACAATCTCATTAACATTTTCCCCGTCTGTCTTTAGTCTTCACAGTCATTCACCTAATTCTACTGTTTGATCCTGCCTAGGTTCTCTTAATTTTTTTCCCTCCCAGGATACACTTGAATCACTGCAGCTCTTGGGGACCTGAAGTCTCTCCTTTGAGTACTTCCAACATATGACTACCAATTGTTAGAGGAGGTGCTGCTTGACAAGGTGACTGTAATAGCTGGATAAGACAGGCATCCTAAACTAATTCATTTCCTAGATATCCAGGTACTGGATAAAAAAAGCTTTTTTCTCTATTCTTTAACTACTTTCAAGAACTTTCTCATCTCAGCCTCAAAGTCTAAACAAATTTCCCTTACCAGAAGTTTGGACTTGCTTGGATCTGTCCCCCTTTCTGACCTATGGGTGCCCCACCATTGTATTCTGGAAACACTTATTAACTTGTCTGATTCACAGCTGGAAAGGCATTTTGCCTCAGGATGACTCAACTCCGGGGTCTGCAGCATTTGGGCACCTACCGGTGAGACTCAAGTCTCACCCATACCTGATTTAGCTAATACAGACCGAGTATTCTTTATCTGAAATGCCACAACTATAAGTGTTTCAGATTGGGATTTTTTTTTAATACTTGCATTTGTATAATGAGCTATTTTAGGGAGGGGACCCAAGTCTAAATGAAGTTCATTTATGTTTCATATACACATGATACAAATCCTGAAGGTAATTTTATATAATATTTTAATCAATGTAAAAAAAGAGTTTCTTGGGATTTTCCACTTGCAGTATCATGTCAGCACTCGAAAATTTTTGGATTTTGAAGCCTTTCAGATTTCCAGATTAAGGCTGTATCATCTGTATTTTTCTGCTTTGTTTTGCTTTGTTTTTTTAAGATGGGATCCTTCTGTTGCCCAGGCTGGTCTGGAACTCCTGAGAACCAGGGATCCTCCTGCTTCAGGTTCCTAAGTGCTGAAATACAAGCATGTGCTGCCACACATCCAACTTCATTTGTATGTAAATAAGACTTTGGACTTACAGTTCAGCAATTGAAATGCTCAACTTTTGAGGCGGTTGATATAGGGTAAATAAAATTTTCATGTGAGAAAGACATGAATTTTAAGGATATGGAAGCATAGCATTATGGATTGAATTGGTTTCCCTCAAAACTCATGTTGAAATTTTACTCCCCGAAAGTCATACCCAATCTGCTATTTTGATGTGACAGCCCCAACAGACCAATATAAATACCAGGAAGAAAGTTAAAAGACAGCACAGAATGGGGAAAAGTTTTACAAATAATGTATCTGCTATTCTACCTACAAAGTACAAATCAAAATTAAACTATAAAAAGATACCCAGGTGGGTTGGGGATGTGGCTCAAGTGGTAGCGCGCTTGCCTGGCATGTGTGGGGCCCGCGTTCCATCCTCAGCACCACATACAAAACAAAGATGTTGTGTCCACCGATAACTAAAAAAAAATATTGGAATATTCTCTCTCTCTCTCTCTCTCTCTCTCTCTCTCTCTCTCCCCCCCCCTTCCCCCCCTCCCTCTCTCTTTTAAAAAAAAAAAAAAAGATACCCAGGCCTGGAGGCAGACACCTGTAATCCCAGCAGTTTGGGAGGCTGAGAAAGGAAGATCATGAATTCAAAGCCAGCCTCAGCAAAAGCAAGGCGCTAAGCAACTCAGTGAGACTCGTTCTTAAAATAAAATACAAAATAGGGCTGGGGATGTGGCAAAGTAGTTGAGTGCCCCTGAGTTCAATCCCCAGTACCAGAAAAAAAAAAAAAGACTAGCCCATTTTAAAAATAAGGAATACTGGATGCAGTGGCACTTGCCTTGAATCCTGGTGATTCTGGAGCCAGAGGCAAGAAGGTTACAAGTTCAAGGCCAACCTAGGCAATGTGTATAGAGACCTGTCTCAAAATAAAATAAAAAGGACTGGGGATATACCTCAGTGATAGAGTGCTCCTGGTATCAAGCCCCAGTATGATAAAAAAGAGAGAGATTTCTCCAAATATATTCAAATTGTTAATAAGGATGTAAAAAGTTCCTCAACATAGTCATTAGGAAAATGTAAATCAAAACTGAAACAAGATATCACATTAAACCCATTAAGAAGGCTAAAGTTAAAAAGAAATGTTGGTTAGAGTGTAAAATGATGTAGCCATTTTATAAAATAATCTGCCAGTCCTTTCAAAAGTTAAAAGTTTCCCTATGACCCATCAATTCTACTTCTAAGTATATAGCCAAGAAAATGGAAAACATGTTCACACAAAAGTTTGTATGTGAATATTACAGCAGCATTATTTATAATAAATATACAGTAGAAACTAAATCCCTCATGATTTATGAAAAAGAACCCCTAGCTTTTCATTCATTGCTGGCTTGCAAGAAAATGAGGGCATTGCCCTTAAAGTCTTAGTGGCCTATAAACAACAAATTTCCTCACTAGATTGGGAGTTTGTTAACTGTTGGGAGTGGCAGGGGCAAGAGTTGACTGCCCTGGCAGCACTCTAGATACAAGTCAAATTTAAGTCACTTCCACATGTCTCTCATTCAAGGACCAGAGTAAAGGAGTAGTATTTTCCTGAGGATGAAAGATAAGCACTCAAGAGACTAAACTACAGAAACTGATGTGAATAGAAGTTCTGTGTGCTCACATTAACAAAGCAAGTCATATAGTTAGGTCCAACATAGTGGTATAAGGAAGTATACTCTGCCCACTCATTCCACAGAGTAGAGGGAGAGAAGAAAAAAGGGAAGAAAAATGACTTGGCTTTACCTTTAAGAAAACTTAATAAAAATTGTGCACTTCACTAATCCATATACCTCAGGGTAAAATCTTAGTGTATACAAAAAAAGAAAATTTAGTACATTGTCATTGTTTGTCTGAAGGCAGATAAGAAATACAGCCTCCATTCTGGATTGTCATGTACCCAGTTAAAATTAAGAATATCTATTACTACTGGCATGGTGGTGCATGCCTGTAATCCCAGCAGTTTGGGAGGCTGAGAAAGGAGGATCATGAACTCAAAGCCAGCCTCAGCAATTTAGTGAGACCCTGAGCAACCCAGAAAGACCCTGTCTCTAAATAAAATATTAAAAAGGCTGGGGATGTGGCTCAGTGGTTAAGCGCTCGTAGGCTTCAACTCCTGGCACCAAAAAAAAAAAAAAAAGAAGAATACTAAAAACCAAGGATCAAGAAATGGGATACCATCAAATTAAAAGATACCCAGCAAAGGAAATGAACATGAAGAGAGAGCCTATAGATGGAGAAAATCATGACCAGCTAGCTACTCCTCTATTAGGGGATTAGTATTCAGAATATATAAAGAACTCAAAAGATAACCCAATCAATAAGGGAGCAAAAGAACTCAACAAACTTCTCAAAAGAAAAAACACAAATGGCCAACAAGTACATGAAAAAATCTTCCAACATTTCTAGCAGTCAGAGAGATGCAAATCAAAACTACACTAAGATTTCAACTTACTCCAGTCAGAATGATATTGATCCAAAATACAAACAATTATAAACTTTGGTGAGGTTGTTGGGGAAAAGAAACTCTTAAACATTATTGGTAGGACTACAGACTTATAAAAACACTCTGGAATGCAGTATGGTGATTCCTCAAAAAACTAGGAATGGAACTACCTACCATGTGATCCAGCTGTCCCACTCCTTGTATTTTCCCAGAAGATCTAAGTTGGCATCGATAGTGATACGGCCACCTCAATGTTTATAGCAGCATAATTAACAATAGCTAAATTATGGAATCAACAATGGAGTTCTACTCAGCCAAAAAAAAAAAAAGAATGAAATTATGGTGTTTGCCAGTAAATGGATGGAAATGGAGAATATCATGCCAAGTGAAATAAACCAAACTCAGAAACTCAAAGGTTAAATGTTTTCTCTCATGTGGAAGCTAGA